ACTGAAAGAAGCAAAGGGCAGAGGACAGGGAGAGCAACGGGGCTAACAAGGGGAGGAGGGAATGATGCAGCCCCGTAGCTAGGGATTTTGGGGGGAGGGGGCCGGGGGGGGTCTCAGCTAATTAAAGTTAATCACGTTAATTCAATTTGGGACTGGCCCGGGAGAGGGGGGGCCCACTAAAAATGTTAGGGGGCCAGGCCCCACAGGCCCCGCGTTAGCTACGGGCCTGGAGTGATGCACATTGATCTGCATCAACTAGCCAGATTCTTCCATTGTAGGGGAGGGATATATTGTTAATAAGCTGTACTGGCACCCAAATCCCCTGGTGGCTTGTGAAGGGCTTTGACGACAGTGAAGGGTATGGCGCTCTGAAAAGCACAATTACCGCCTTAACAGACTTGATCTCCACATAAAACGAAAAATGGAGGCGGGGCGGGGCTATTGAAAGGGGGAACTGGCAGTGCTCCTTTGGGGGGGGGGACAGAGAGGGCTTGTCTGTCTCTCCTCCGCTTCCCTGGTCACCTGGCGGATGACTTTTGGGGTGTGTCTCTGTTTTCTTATCTGATGGGAATTCAGGGCGATTCTCCCCCCCCCCCATGTTTTGTGCATGACCAGTAAAACAGAGAGGCGATCTGGAAGAGAAGATCCACGTATGGTCAGAAGCGCCATTTCCTCTCTTCACATGGTTGGTTCTTGTGCTGCAGGCAACCTCATGAGCGCCCCCCTTTCCAGGGAAATTATTTTATTTTATTGAGCACCCTATTTTCTCCCCAATGGGGGCTCCAAGTCGCTTTACCTGTATCTGTTTTAAACATTTCTTCGCCACCTTTCTCAAAGGTAGGTTACAACATAACTAATGTAAAAAATCCATTAAAACAGTATAAATAAAACAATGGTAAAGGTAAAGGTTTCCCTTGCTCGAAAGCCAGTCGAATCCGACTCTAGGGTTGCGGTGCTCATCTCCGTTTCAAAGCCGAAGAGCCAGCACTGTCCGAAGACGTTTCCGTGGTCATGTGGCCGGCATGACTAAACACCAAGGCGCACGGAAGGCTGTTACCTTCCCACCAAAGTGGTACTTGTTTATCTACTTGCAATTTCTTGCTTTCGAACTGCTAGGTTGGCAGGAGCTGGAACTAGAGACGGGAGCTCACTCCGTCATGCAGCACACTTGGGTCTCGAACTGCTGAACTACCGACCTTCCACAGCCTGCAGTTCAGCGTCTTAACTACTTGAGCCACCGCAGCAAGTCGCTTTACCTATATCTGTTTTAAACATTTCTTCGCCACCTTTCTCAAAGGTAGGTTACAGCATAACTAATGTAAAAAATCCATTAAAACAGTATAAATAAAACAATGATAAGGACACATAAAAGGTAAAATTTAAGCTCTCCAGTTAGGACTGCCAGTAAAGAAAAACTAAATCAGTCAAATGCAGCCTTAAATACGTCATCCCCCCGCCTCCATTCTATCCTCACAACAACCCTGCGAGAGCCTCTCTCTGGTTCACCCGCCTAGGAGTAAGAACACCCCTGCAGTGCTGGACCCAAGGACCGTCTAGAGCAGGGGTGTCGAACATAGGCCCCCGGAGGGCTTCTATCAGGCCCGCAGCGGAACTGGTCTGCTTATTCTTCCAGTTCTGCTGCTGTTGCGTCATCGTAGGTTTGCAGCTTACAGATACACACCTGAACAGCATCCTCAAGATTGCAACAGCACAGACATTTTGATGCAAAAATTCAGAACGAGAGGCGTCAGTTATCAGACACTGCTAAATAAACAAAATACTGCAAGAGTGCTGATGTTTTAAGCATGATCTTATTTTAAGTTTAAAAAAACCTCTTTGTGTTTGTGTCCTTTATAAAGTTTATATATCTGCTGCCTGGCATTACATTTTATGACACACCACAGCAAAGTCTCATTTATGTCAGATCCGGCCCTCATAACAAATGACACCCCTGGTCTACAGCAATGATAAGTTTAATGAAACCTTCATGTGCAGAGGATGCAGACGTCTGAGCACTGTTTCCAGTGTGGCCTGGTCCTTTTAGAGTTGCCAACTTCCAGGTAGCACCTGGAGATCTCCTGCTATTAGAACTGATCTCCAGGGGACCAAGTTCGGTTCCCCTGGAGGAATTGGCTGCTTTGGGGGGCGGACCCCATGGCACTGTACTCTGCTGAGGTCCCTCCCATCCCCAAACTCTGCCCTGCATAGGCTCCACCCCCAAACCCTCCAGGTATGGCCCAACCCAGAGCCGGCAAACCCGAGTCCTTGGGCCGGTTACGCGCTCTCAGCCTAACCCCCCCTCCCAGGGATAAAATGGAGAAGTAGCAGAGAACGATGTTAAGAAGCTTGGAGTCACCACTGGGAAGAAAGACGGGGTCTTGATAACGTCAATCAACCTGTGCCCTGTATCCCGCTTCCAACAGGGGACAGCTAGAGACTTCCCCCAGTCCCTTAGCGAGGTTTCCCTTGACTTCTTTCTAGGGTTGCCAGCTCCCTGAGAGCCAGTTTGGTGTAGCGGTTAGGAGCACAGACTCCGGGTTTGATTCCCGACTCCTCCACATGCAGCTGCTGGTGTGACCTTGGGCCAGTCACAAGTTCTCTCAGAGCTGTTCTCTCAGGAGCAGTCCTCGAAAGAGCTCTCTCAGCCCCACCTCCCTCACAGGGTGTCTGTCGTGGGGAGGGGAAGGGAAAGGAGATTAGAAGACGCTCTGAGACTCCTTCGGGTAGTGAAGGGCGGCTGGGTTGGGAAATACCTGGAGACAGGGCCGGCTCGAGGTGTTTCTGCGCCCTAGGCAAGGCTGCCTTATGGCACAGATGCCAAGCTCCCGGTGGGGCCTGGAGACCTGGAGCCAGCCACCCTTCTGCTGCCGCCACCACCGCCTCCTCCCGTCGTCACCACCAAAGGGGGGAGGAGGGGGGAGGCACAGCTCTAGGCGAATGCCTAGTTTGCCTAGTGGGTGAGCCGGCCCTGCCTGGAGATTTGGGGGGGGGGGCC